GATATACGGTACCCATGCAAAGAAAAAGGGAGCATCTCATACCAATCTTTATAGGTAACAACCATTTTCTGGATGATCTTCTTGATATTTTTATTAGCAGCTTCAACAACCCCATTCATCTTTGGCCTGTAAGGAGATGAATTGTGATGGACAATCTTAAATTCTTCACAAAGTTCTGTCATCATCATGTTATTCAGATTCGAGTCATTGTCAGTGATAATCCTGCTTGGCACACCATGCTGACATATAAGATTGTTTTTGATAAAGCGTACTACCACCTGCTTAGTGACATTATAATATGAAGCTGCTTCCACCCATTTGGTGAAGTAGTTTATTGCATCAAGATAAAATGATATCCATTGGATGTCTTGGGTTCAATCATTCCAATCATGTCAATACCCCACACAGATAAAGGCCACGGGGAAGAAATAACATTGAGAAGCGTTGAAGGCACATGAATTTTGTCAGCATAAATATGGCACTTATGGAACTTCTTTGCAAATTTGTAATAGTCAGATTCCATTGTCAGCCAATAGTAACTCGCCCTAAGCATCTTTTTTGCCATCGAATGTCCATGGACATGAGTACCAAAGGAACCTTTATGGATTTCATGCATCAATATGTCTGCTTCGTTTCTATCCACGCATATGAGCAAGACAATGTCATAATTTCTTTTGTATAGTACATCTTCATTAAGAAAAAAGCTACATGCTAACCTTCTCAATGTCTTTCTATCTTTGTGTGACGCACCAGCCGGGTATTCTTGAGTCTGGAAAAAATTCTTGATATCATAATACCAAGGTTTTTTGTCTGACGTTCTCTCCACTGCAAACACATTAGCTGGTCTATCCAAACGTCAAATTGTGATACGAGGCACATCATTCCAAGCATTTACTTGATACATAGAAGCCAAAGTGGCTAAAGCATCTGCCATTTAATTCTCATCTCTATGAATATGATGAAATTCAACTTTATTAAAGAAGGGTAATAATATTCTAGCATAGTCTTTATAGGGAACCAATCCAATGTGACGAGTATCACATTCTCTTATAATTTGATTTATTACCAAAGTTGAATCGCCATATACGTCTAGAATTTTGATTTTGAGATCTATAGCCTCTTCGAGACCCATTATGGTTTTGTAATACAAGTTCAAACGAAAATATAGAAAAAATAAAATAAAAATATTTTCCCCTAAGTTAATATTACAAACCAAGGTAATAATGTTGCTCTATTACCTTAGTTTTACTTTCAATCGAGACCAAATTTTAGGCGCACCATTGAGTTCTGAAAATAATAAAAATGTATTTGTTTGGGATCAAACCCACGTGCAAAAAACTTTATCCCTCGGTCAATAAAAAATTAAGGATAAAATGGCAAGTTTTTATGACGCTCTTTATTACCTCACTTGTATAACCGAGGTTAAATCCCTTTCACACCTGAGGTTAATTGTATTTTTTGTAGTAGTAGCATTATCATTACGCCTTACAGGGTATTGATGTTCCCTACAAGGTAGAAAATAGTGTTGTTAAATATAGCCTGAACTCCTATAGGTGAGTCATTAGCAATGAACTTAATGGGCAAGCTATATTGGCTACCCGATAAGATATCATTGTCGCCCAAGTGGAAATATGTTATGTTGAATCCTACATGAGGTATCATTGTCACCCAAGTGAAAATATATTATGTTGGATCCTTTATGTAGAATCCTTTCCACCCAAGAGGTTGTTGAACACTAGATCCCCAAATAGGAACTCTAACCGCCCTTAAAGTAAGTTCTACAGTGATCCATAAGCGAAGAATTCTTACTAAGCTCTTTTTGAAATGACTCGGTCACCTTAAAGGCTTTCTCAAGTAATACACTTAATAAAAAAAGTAAGTAGACATAAATATAAGAAAATCACCTAAAGGTAGAAAATGTTATATTAATAATGCTATGAGGGGCGAATATTACAAAGATCCCAAAGAGCAAGAGTGATAAAACCCTAGGGGAATGATTACATTAAAAACAACTAAGGGTGTGATGATAAAACTCAAAGGAAAGAAAACTATGAATCACTCTTCGCCTTCTCGGGGTTTCTTTTCTTCTTGAATGACTTCCACGTGAACTACTTCCTCATTGGAAATCTCATTCATCTCAACACGGGGGTCGTCCTACTCAATTGGGAAGTCCTTTTCAGAAGAAGGAGAAATAATTTTTGGAGGCGCCCCATCCTATTTGCCCGTAAATTAGATGTCTTGGACCACTTTGAACAAATTCAGTTGGCTCAGGTCCAAGTCAGGTTAGAAAAAGCCACATGTTTTTTTGCCCATTCAAAATGTTGGTCGAAAGTCTCCCCTAGCTCATCCTTGCAAGGAGACAAATCATCTTCCAACTTCTTCTTGGAGAGAAGGGTGGCCTTAAGAGACTCCTTCAGAATAATTTATGATAAGGAGAGATTTTTAGTGTTCCCCACCGCCTTCCTCAAGACCTCTTTAAGTTTCACTTGTGAACGTTTCAACCCGTCGCACTCCTTCGTCAAAATTTTCACCGACTTATGCTCTTGAATCAACCTTTTCGTGGTGGTAAAATCATATGGCTTATCACCAATGGACCTATACTCTTATAAATAAGCCTCAAAGAGCCCTCGCTCCATCATCATGCCCTTCAACAAGTTGTTTTCCACCATATTGGACAACCTCCTAGTTCCCACCCGACTAACAAATTTGAAGTTGTTGGGAAATTTTTCATCAAAGGAAAGTCGAGCAGTGATGCATTTATGTTTATCAAAGTGGTTATCCACAAAGATGACAAAAACAATTTAGGAACCTTATCCCTGATGGGTGACCCGATTTGATGCTCGCTCATTTCCTCCTCTTTCTCGTCTTCGAGGTTGACAGTGACATTGTCTTTCAGAATGGGAGTCGAATAAGAACTTTGTCCAAACCCCTATGGCTTCATGGTTTTGATGGTGTAGGTTTAAAGAATAGAATATACTTCAATGGACTCTTTGATGACTTTTTGGACTATTAGTCCATTGTTCATTACTCGCACCCTTCTTCTTGGACAATTGAGCATTCCTCCCAGTAACTGAAATGGATGACATCTTTTTTGCAAATAATAAGAAAAATAAATTTAAGTAACGAGGAGATTAAAAGAACCCTAAACTAGAAAGAACTACAATAATTAACTTACACATATACTCCGTAATATTTCTATCATCTCCTCGATTGAGTTCTCTAATTTTCCTAAGCTCAGGACAAAGAACTCATCAAAGAAGTTAACCATTTCCCTCTCTATATGGTTAGGTAATAATAATAATCAAAGTCATTGATGTCCAATGGATCCTCAGTCCAACACAAAGGGAATCAATGGGTGTCATTGGATCCCGTCATGACCGTAAAGGCATTGTCTCACCGCTCACTCTCACAAACCTATCCTTCCAAATTTTGTATTTGTTTGAATGACGCTTTAACAAGGTCCTTCTCGCCAGTGCGCCTATGGTCACCGATCTTCTCTCAACCTGATATTGATACCATAGAAGGAGAAGAAAATCCCTACAGTAGGGTTGGAATCCAATCACCAACATATAATTTCAAAGGCCCTAATAAATGTCTAAATGTTTGGTGAAATTTGAGACAAAGCGACATTTATAGTCGTGATAACCTATACTTCAAATAAAGTGGAGGGAATTAAGACCCCTAGGTCTTATATGAATGGGAAATGCAAGTAGAAGAAAAGGTTGGGCGAGTCGGGCGGGGAAGTCATGTTGGCCCGTTTCGTCACAAAGCATGGCTCTGGAATGATGTCACCCTCATCGACCATCCTAGAGAGGTTGTTGTCCACCCTTTCGGCACAAATGCAGTGGCTTAAAATCTTCGACGCACATATACTTCGAAGTGTTGAGGGGTTGTCCCCAAGTTTCGCTTGAGGGGTTGTCCCCAAGTTTGTCTTGAGGGAATTTCCCAAAGTTTTGCTTGAGGGACACTCCCTATGCTTCGCTTGAGGGATAACCCCAAGTTTTGTTTGAGGGACTCTCACTAAGATTAGCTTGAGGGATTCATCCTCATCCCATTAGGATGAATAGTCCTAAATATCTAGCCAAAAAGTTTTCCCAGTGCCCCATATGACCGAGTTAACCATTTTGCCCTTTCCAAGACCTCATGCTAAGGGACTATGAACTAGAATAATTTTACCAGGCCCTGTAAATAATAGCCAAAAGGGATATAAGTTGAGTCAGTTATATCAATAATAGGCGAACGCCCCTTGATTGAGTCATAGGTCGCTCAAAATGCATAAGAGTCACTCTATTGGGCTTAAGCCTAGCCTCCTAAACCAAAACACATTTTATACTGATTCAAATGATGATGTATGTGGCGCATGTATAATCCATCAAGAGATGAAGAATAATTGTTTATTTCACGATTACAAGAAGAATCTAGTTTTCACAATCCCACCCCTTAGACCGAAATAAGGAGAAAATGTTTTTCTTAGCCTCTAACTTATATTCAAAGGGTATCCTATATGATACCTTGTTTCTTGAATGGGAGATGGATCAACAATATCCCTAAAAAAAGGAGACATATTATGTTTAATCCATAAACAATTAAAAGAAATTAAAATACTTTTTAATTATTTACTCATTTAATTATTTAATTTTTCAAAAAGATTACATAATTAATTAAAATAAATTAAAATACTTTTTAATTATTTACTCATTTACTTATTTAATTTTTCAAAAAGATTACATAATTGGAGTGGGTGGAATAGTTCAAACTAATTAAGTAAAATGAGTATAAATTAATGAGAAAAACTTATAATTTAGAAAACAAAAAATATTTAATTATTAAATATAAATAAAATTAATTAGATACATCAAGAAATAAGAAAATCTATAAACAAAAATTGATACATCACTAAATTGTCCAACGGCTAGTAAACCAAAAATGTGATTCAAAAGCATCACCACTTTCTGAAAGCTCCATTCCCAAACTCAAAACCTTCACTCCTTTCACACCTCATGGATTCATCTACACCACCGCCAACTTCATTACTTCCAATCATCTCCGATCATCCAATCCAGTCACCGTCGCCATCGCCATTGCCATCGCCGTCGCCGTCACCCTCACCTTCTCCTCTCAGAAGAAGATCCAAAACCTGCCTCGCTGACCGCCTCGAAATTGCCGCCGACGACTCTCCTGAACCTGCCGGAGTACGGCGAAGGGGAAAAGCCAGAGTCGCTCAAAACAACGCTCGAAAAACAAGAAAACCGCGTGCTGGTGCTGATGTTGAGATTCGAGAAGAGAGTAAAGATGGTGTTGTTGGTTTGGTTGAAGAAATCGGAAAACCTAGAAAGAGGAAATATGGCGGTCGACCGAAGAAAGAGAAACCGATCTTGGTTCAACCTTCAAGTATGTTTATTAATATGCCTATATGAAATTACCTAACTTTGTTTTCATTTTTATTTCAATCAAACCCTAATTTTATTTTTGTGTTTTTGTGGGTAGAAACTGAAGAAGAAAATTTGGTTGATTTTGATTGTATTCGGGAGGTGGTTAGTGATTTGGTTATGTGGAAAGATGTATCAAAATCAACCCTTTGGTTTGGACTTGGCTCTCTTTGTATCTTATCTTCATGCTTTTCTCAAGGTTTCAATTTTAGGTAATGCAATTTTTTCTTTTGTCCCTTTGCTAGAAGAGAGTGATGATGTATGATTAACTTGATAGATTGAGAATAGTTTAGAGAATATTCAGACCAAACGGTTTTCACGATTTCGGTTGGTACAGTTGTTACAATACTAATTGTGATCGTTGCAGTGTGAATTAACCACAATTTGTTCTTGAACATAAATGGTATTAGTATCTACATCTCTTCCACTACGCACTTTGTTGCAGCCGTTTTCGCGGTCGCGGACTGTTTTTTAAAACACTTGGAGAGAGTGTGATAGTTTAAGAATGAATTCGAAGGTTTATGAATTTGAGAAAAGTCTGATGTGTTCATGATTGATATTTCAGCATTGTCTCGGCCCTTTCGCAATTGGCAATTTTCATTTTGGGTGTTTCATTTTTCTCAAATTCCATATATCAAAGGTACTTTTTTTTGTTCTAATAGATGGTGTTGTAGTGTAATTATTCGTCAAACTATCTCATTTATGGATTATTGTTGTTCTATGATTTTATGATTGTATTTCAGTGAAACTGTTGATGAGAAGTGTTATGCCAAGCTTAAAGAAGACGATCTTTTGCGTCTTGCAAAACTGACTCTTCCTGCTTTAAATTTCATGATTTCAAAGGCTAGAGTACTATTCTCGGGAGAACCATCTATGACTCTTAAAGTAATCCACAAAGTTCTGATTCTGAATTTTATTTTGTCTAATGAAAATCATAATACTTGCTAACAAATGCTTAACTCATCATGAACTATTATTTTCTTGTTGCAGGTAATTCCTTTCCTTCTACTAGGAGCTGAGTTTGGCCACTTAATTACAATCAAGAGGCTATGTGCCATTGGTTAGGACTTAGGACACCATGAACTCTATCTTCTATGTAAACCTTTTCTTTGAAATTCATTTCATGTCTTAGTTAAAATGCTAATACATATGCTCATACAGGTTTTTTTGTCAGCTTCACTATCCCAAAACTTTATTCATGCTACACTAGTGAGATAAATGAGAGAGGTATGTATAACTTCATGTGTTATATGCATATGAAGCAATCCGCTATTTTGTGCTTAGTAGTTGAATGCTTGTGTTCTATTCATTTGCAGCCGAGTATTTGAAATCATCATTATCGGAAACCTGGTGTGCTTGCACTCACAAGAAGAAAGTGATGGCGTCAACTCTCTTGACATTCTGGAATCTATCTTCAACCAAAACTCGGATCTTTACAGGTAACACTTGCATAAGCAATTATAACATAATAAGTTCATTACGATTTACGATTCAACTCCTGTTCTTTTTAAGCAATTATACATTCTGTTCTTTGTGATAGCTGTTTTTGTTACATGCAGCTTTTACGCTGCTGGTACTATTCAGATACTTAAAGCAACATGTGGTGCAGCAATTACAAGATGGGGAAGAACAAGTAGGTGAGAAGGAACAACAGAAGAAAGAATCAGCGGTAGTGGAAACAGTAGAAAAGGAAACTCAACTAGCATTAGTTATACATAACTCAGATTCAAAAAATAAGGACAATTAATGTGTTGTTCGGAGATGAGAATTCATCTTGCAAGTGTTACATATATTTTTCTAATTTGATTAGTCAGTGCTAAACAATGTTAGATAGGAAAGGAAAGTGAAATAATAGTTACTTAGTCTTGTTTACAAGTATTTCAAAACAAATTATCAGTAGAAAATGAATTTTTGAAAATTTATGTGTGAATATTATTAATTACTTATTACTTAAGATAGCTCTAAAATTTTATAGTTTATATTTATAATCGTTATTTTACTTTTAGGAAAATTTAACATTTAAAATATTTATTGATGTAGTATTTATAATTGTTATTTTTCTTTCGGAAAAATTTAACATTTAAAATACTTTATTAATGTATTATTAATGTAGTATTTATTAATTACTTGTTATAATCGTTGTACATCCCAGAAATAATAGGCTTGATCGGGTAGAGTAATCGGCATGTCTAAAGGTTAAACTAGTAGGCGGTTTAGGGACGAAGGTATCCGGGGTGTAGCTCGGTTAAAAGAGTTTCAGATGATCCACAGATCTGCATAGCAACCCGTCATCATCATCGACTCGGATAAGGTAGGTGGCCGAGACGCACGTACCTGTGACCGGTCATCATCTCGGCTCAGTAATGCTTGTAAACTCTGGTGGCGCAATTCTTACAACGTTACACAGCTTTGACTCCACCATTCATGGAGACAGCGAAGGTTATAGAGTTATAGAACTCAAGAGTCACTCATTAACTGAAGCTTTTGATGACACAATCTTTAACTAACGCAAAGGATACTGTTGTACTCCAAAATTTTCCCTCTCTTTTCTCAAGACATTTCTCACAAAGATCTGCAAAAGCTCAAGCTTGCACAAAGATTGACTAGGTCAAAACATCTCCTCAACACTGATATCTCAAAATTAGGGTCACAAGGACAATTGGACTTCTAATACTTCAAATGACTTTCATGAATTATTATGGACCTTCAAGAATGCTCATGTCAAGTTTCAAATCTTGTATCACAAATTCTGCTCAGTCAATTGACCAGATGACCAAAAATTAATTGTACTGATGAAAAGTCAGCTGATACGCCAAAAGTCATCATTAAGTCTCAAAGATCAAAATTCATCAAGACATTCAAAAATATGAAACTTGATCATCAAGAAATCGAGAAAGTCAAAAGTCAATTTGAAAAGTCAAACTTTCCAAGACTTAGAAATTTTTCTGTGTTTTCATACATGATAATCTCATAACTTCATGACATTCTTTCACTAAGATGTAAGATGATTCAAAGAAAACTTTCAACATGAAAGTTGTAGATCTTGATGAATTCTATAACTTTGTATTTAGAGAGTTGATGTCCAAAAAAATGCTTAGATTTGAAGATATGAGCCCATGAAGTCATGACATTGTTATCCAACACTTACAGAAATTTTCAACAGATTTTGGTCAGGATTTTATTCCAACTTCTTGGAAATTTTTCACATAGTTCCAAGATGATTTTATCAAAATGGCCAACATGAAAGTTATAGAGGATGTTTCAAGCTTTCTAAAACATCCAAGAGCATGAATTTATCATACTTGAGCTAGGAGATTTAAGGGTATGAAGTTGGGCATCCATCCTTGAATTGCAAGTCCTTTTGTTGAAGAACACATAACAAAATCCTTATGCTATGCTGCATAATCTTGTGTTGCAGACCTTCTAACTTGCCAATCTCACCATAATTTAATGTTTACACCTACTTTTGAGCTATTACCCAAGTGTTTTAGTCATTGTCCAAAAGATCTTTCCATTTATGGCATAAAGGCACCATTGCTATTCTTGAAAAGCAAGCTTGTTGGCACAAAACTTGTCTTGAGCCCATACCTTGTTTGCTTCTGATTTTACTCCACCATAAATCATATAAAGTATCCCCTCTATACCAGTAACTTTGGTACTTCATCTTGGAACCATGGAATACTTGACATAGTTTGATATTTGCATCCCAACTAAATCATAACATGCTGTCTTGTAAACCTATTCATCCCTTGTTCACAAACCTTTTGCATATAGTTAGAGGGAGCATTTCCAAGAGAAAAGAGAGAAAAAAATAGAGAGATTCTTGTGTATTGAAAAATCTTCAAACCCCCCCTCATACTCTAAAAATCAGAATTATCCACAAAACCTCCATCTTTGAGCTTTGAAGTTCAAAATCTTTGAACCTCTCACACCTTGCAAGTTTTGTCCAAACAAACCATCCAAACACTCCACATACATCCTATAGAAGTTGTCCAAACTCAAGAACAACTTCTGTAACATCACTACTTTCTAAACTCAAAAACAGCCACTTGCAATTCTCCAACTCAAGCTCAAAGCACAAATTTCAGTTTCAAGGTAAGTTTAGTGACTTTGAACTCTTCATAAAAAGCATCATTAATGTTTCATTTTTGAAGGTAACATGTAGATATCATTTCCTTGAAGCTAACCATATGATTGCTTTTTCATTTTCACTGACCATGTGTTGAAAACTGAGCCATATATGCAGGAGAACAATGTTAGCAGCTAAAAAAGGCAGTATGAGTCGATACGAAACACTATGAGTCGACACAAAATGTGCATGTGTCAAAACAAAGCAGTATGAGTCGATACAAAACCCTTATGTGTCGACTCATACTGAGTTGTTTTGACTTCCAGGAGCTGGAAATGAGTATGAGTCGATACAAAGTTTGCATGTGTCGACACAAAGCAGTATGAGTTGATACAAAATCCTATGTGTCGACTCATACTGAGTTGATTTTGGTTTCCAGGAGCAAGAAAGCAGTATGAGCTAATACAAAGCAGTATGAGCCAACGCATGCATCAATACATAAAATTTTTGTATCAATGCATAAGCTCATGTGTCAACACATAAAAGTTTTCTTAAACCAATTGTTTTTTCTTTTTTTATTTTATATTATCTTTATATTTCTTTATATTTTTATTTGTCATTCAATATTCAGTATGCTTGTAATAGTATAATTAGAACTTTATTACTTTCATCCTTCATCCATAAACTTCTATCCCCATCCCCAAAAAAGATGTAATAGCGAAGAATTTACTTTTTCGCAATTTACCGCTTTCAATATAATTGCTAGTAATTAGGGTGTGTATGGCAAGACTTAAAATCAACAAGTAGGCAAACCTAATTCAAGACAAAAAATGCATGAAATTATTACACTCGCACCTCCAGGGTAATCCACACTTGTTGCCTTGAGAAAAATAGTCATGTCCCTCGAACATGGGATACTTTAGCAATGACCCTCGAATACAAGATCGTAGTCCCTCGATAAACCTTCGATGTTGCCTTCATAAACGATCTTAGACCCTCACAACAAATTTCTAAGGTATCCTACAATGTTGCCTTCTATGACTATACGACAACCCACACCTGTCCCTTCACATCCAATGATAGGACTTCTTATCAATTAATGGTAAGATAGAAATATCTAAAGGAGGAGGAAATGAACTAATACCTTTTGAGTAGGTAGAACGTTTGTAGTTGCTTGCTCACAACCATTTTTAAAACAACACCATTTCAAACACACCAACACTTTCAAAAGAAATATTTTCAAAAGTTAACACTTTTTATGCATTCTTATAGAGACGAGAATCATTACAAAGTTCGCCTAAATGAAGGCACTTTTCAAAAATACTTTCAAAAAACAATCACAAACACATTTCAAACAAAGCATTTCAAAGTGATCAAGTAAATAAGAGCCCGTAGATAACTACGTATGAAAAGGGTGCTAACACCTTCCCTTTTCATAACCTACCCCCCGAACTCAAGAAAATATCTCAAAATGTCTTTCCTGTTCTTTTCACCCTTTCCTTTATTGGATAAAAGAATAGTCGGTGGCGACTCTTTCTGTCCGCAACAATTATGATAAAACATGAAACACCCAAGTCAGTTCTCCCACCGTATTACAGATACATGCTATATAAAAGGGCTCCCGACAGAGGTATCCCTAGCACTAGACGTGAAGCCGACTGAATATTTGTTCTATGCAAAAACGTCGGCACCCATTGTGGGGCCTTGGTAAAATTATTCCTAGGACACACTTTAATTCACCTCATGCAGAATGTCATCACCTGGAGACCCCCAGACATGGCACAACTACTAGCCATGGTGGAGGCTCTTAGGCAACAGAACATAACTCTTCAGGACAGTGTCACATACCTACAACAAAGAAGCGTACAAAATGATGATTCAGAAGAGGAGATTATGGAACCTTAACCTCTATCTCAAGCTATATGGGACGATCAAGTCCCAAAGAACTTCAAATCACCGTCGTTGACAGCCTACGACGGCATAACTGATCTTCGGGAGCATGTTATTGCCATCAATAACTGTTATACCCTAAATTATTCCCTTAACATCCCTCATCATTCCATACCATCACAGTACACCAAGATCACACAATATGGTTGGTTCTCTCTTCTACTTCCTCATATCTTTTAGTTTGCTCTTAGGGGATCACCAAGCACTTTGAATTATGTACCTTGTACATGTGTATTTTATGATTACTAAACTTTAACTAAAATAAAAAATATGTATGTGTTGTAGGTATTGACACAAGTGCATCTATCTTACCTCCTAAGATAGAGTTTTGAAGATTGATTCTCAAGCAATTGACTCTATTAGATTTTTAAGAGGCTTGAATTTCAAAGATGTGATCTTATCATCAAAGATATATGGTTTGAGAACTCTCTTAACTTCATAGACCAAACTTGTCTCAAAAAATGGTTGAATTCATCAAGGAAATTCATAGGTTCATGTGTTTATTTCCATGTATTATTTAACATATTTCATTGAGATATAAGTTCCATCATTAAGTGCGATTCAAAATAATATAATTGCAAGGTCTAATGTGATTCATCATGCTTTAGTTTGCAAAGAAAGTTCAAAAGTTACAAGGTTGATTCAACAAGTTTGACCTAATTGGGAAAGTCCTTGATTTTATGATCACAAATGCATAACTCTCTCAATTTTCAAAAAATTTAATTGGT